CGAAAAGCAACTCATGAAAGCGAGAAAAGTTTTGCAAATCTTACACCTGGTAAGGAAAGCACTTGTATCCAGAATATAGAAAGAATGATTGTAACTCAATATAATATTAGTAATAATAAAAAAATAATAATTATTATTAAAATAACAATAAAAAGACAAATAATACACAAAAGGCCTATAAGCACATAGAAACATGTTCAACATCATCAACCATCATCGAAATGTACATCAACCCAAAACTGAGTTACTATTCCCCACCCACTAGAATGGCTATAATTGAAAAGATAATAATTAGTATTGGTGAGAATGTGGAGATACTAGAACACTCACACTTTGCTGGTGGGAATTTAAGTGACATAGCCCCTTTAGAAGCAGGCTAGCAGTTGTTCAAAATGTTGAACATTAGGTTATTATATGATCCAGCAATCCCCTTCCATGTATACAGTATACCCAAGAGAAATGAAAACACAAATTCACATAAAAACCTATACACCATGTTTATAGCAGGATTATCAGTAATAACCCAAAATGAGGACCAAAATGTCACCAACTAATAAATAAACAAATTGTGATACATTCATACAGTGAAATATAATTAGGCAATAAAAAAGATGAGAAGTACTGATACAAGCTACAACGCACAAAAACTATGAAAATGTTATGATAAGTGAAATAAGACAGACACAAAAGGCCACATATTGTCTATTTTTATTACATAAAATGTTCAGAAAAGGTAAATCTATAGAGCTAAAACCTAGGTTGGTAACTTCTCAGGGCTAGGGATTTGGATGTGGATTTTTCTGCTGGGCTAGAAGGAGATGAAAGTGATCTGTAATTGATTTTGGTAATGGAGGCACAACTGTGAATATTCTGAAAACCACTGAATTGTATATTTTCAATGTGTGGAGTTTATACTATTTAAGTTATATCTCAAATTGTCCTGAAAATGATTAAATTACATGTAAAATTTGTAGTCTTTTGCTCAAAAAAGCTACCAATATGGTTTGCATGCAAGTGAAGAAAGTAGACATACACAGAGTAGGCTGATATAATCATAATTAGCTTATTAAAGTGGATTTGGATTTAGTGATAGGAGAGATTTGAAAGTATATTTATGCATATTTTGATTGTTTCATTTTCTATTGTGAACATGAATTACTTTTACACTAAAATTTTTAAAACAAAGTTAAGAATCTTGAAAGCTCTGTAGTCAAATAAACAAATAAACATAGTAACAAAGGATAAAGAGCTGTCTGGAATGTCTTCCTAGAGAATTGGCTGAAGCACATGTATGTTTAAGGAAGGCAATGGCTGAAGAATCAAGGCAGGATTACAGTGGGAGAAGAGAAAAACATACACATGGAGACAGAAGACAAGAAGATGACTGATGCATGAAGTGGACATTAATACTGTGAAAACCTCTTGAGGAGTCAGAAACCTCTTGACAGTCTATGTGGGAGGAAAACTGGCTTACAGCTCAAGATGGCCAGCCATCAGGGACATGGGATGGAATCAGAGGGCTGTCTAGTCATTCCCTTTCTTTTCCCTCCAACATCCCAGCAAGATTACTGCCTAATTTACAGCCAATGCACATTGAAGAATCAGTACAATCTGTAGGCTTTGAGACAATAGACAGAAATTTCTTGAGCTCTTCTTGGCACAGTGAGCTGCTTTCCTCTATCAGACAGACTTATTCTGGTATTTCAGGAATAAAGTGTTTAATATAGAAGTAAGAGCATACACTAATGTTTGGAAACCAGGGGTAGCAAATATTGGTGAATTCATGTGACAGGCAGAATAATGGTCTCCTAAATATGTCTGTGTCCTGGAACTTATAGAAGTGTCTTCTAATAAGGCAGAAGAAACTTTTCAGATGTGATTAAGCTGAGGCTCCTGAGACGGGAAGATTATCCTGGATTGTCTAGGCAGCTTCAATGTAATCACAATAGTCCTTATAAGTGAAAGGAGTAGAAAGCAGCTTCAGAGTTAGAGATGTGACAGCAGAATCGGAGGTCAAAGTGATGTGACTGCTGACTTGGAAGATGGAGGAAGAGAGCAAGATCCAAAGAATGCAGGCAGCCCCAAGAAGCTGGAAAGGGTGAGGAAACAATTTTCCCTTAGGGCCTCAGAAGAAATACAGCTCTGATGACACATTGATTTTAGCCCATGGTGACCCATTTTTGACTCCAGAACTATAAGAGAATAAATCTTGTATTAGCCATTCAAACTAAATTTTGAATTGCAAATCAGCCCCATATTTATTAATTTATTTAAATTTCAATAGTTTCTGGGGGACAGGTAGTTTTTGGTTACATGGGTGAGTTCTTTAGTAGTGAATTCTGAAATGTTAGTGCAACTTCACCCGAGCAGTGTACTCTGTACCCAAAATTGTGTTTTATCCCTCACCTTCTTCCCAACCTCCCCACAAGTCCCCACAGTCCACTATATCATTTTATATGTTTTTCCATCTTCATAGCTGAGCTCTCATTTATAGGTGAGAACATTCAGTATTTGGTTTTTCCATCCCTGTGTTACTTCGTTTATAATAATAATCTCCAGCTCCACCTAAGTTGCTGTATAACATATTATTTTATTCCTTTTTATGGTTGAGTAGTATTCCATGGTGTATATACACCACATTTTCTTTATACACCCACTGGTTGATGGGCACTCAGGTTGGCTCCATATCCTTGCAACTGTGAATTGTGCTGCTCTAAATATGCATGTACATGCGTCTTTTCCATATAATGATGTACGTTCCTTTGGGTAAACACCCAGTAATAGGATTGCTGGATCAAATGGTAGATCTAGTTTGAGATCTTTAAGGAATCTCCATGAAGTGGAAATTTTGCCCAGGATTCTGTCAGCACGTACTCAGCAACTGTCCCTATTTTAAAACCGCCCCTATTTTGTTAGTAACTGCCTCTTTCTGGTTCTGTTCCTCAGCTTATTGCTTACTAACTGGAAAGCCTTAAGGGAAACTGCCACTTCGTCTAAAACCTGCTGCGTTGTCTAAAGTCCTGAGTTCCTTCCCCTGCCCCTTTACCTATAAAAACTGTGTACTTTTCCTTGGTGGGGCCCAGACTTTTGGGTGTGAACCATTTTGGGCCCCCCTGCATAATAAAGTGTGTTCCTCCAATCTCGTGATTGCCGCTTGGGTTTCTTGTCTGGTAAAATTTTCCAGAACATTTTGTTCTCTGACCAGGAAACCCAACCGCGCTGGCCCCTTGAGCCACGGGTTTGGGGTCAGAAAGGACAGACAGCTTGCCTGTTCCCCACTGGGGACTGAGGCAGGGGCCCCCCTATACGCTTCTACAGGGCCTCCTTCCCTGGAAGGGGAACTGCTACTGCTCCGGCATTGCCGCTCGCAGGACTTGTGGGCGAGACAGACTGAACTGAAGGGAGCTCCGGATAAGGTAAGGTCCTGGGATCCAACCCTAGGCAGGCCTGTCTACAGATGGAAGGGGAGATTGATCACCTCCCAGGGTCTCCACTTGGAGACAGCAGGCAGACTTCCCGGGTTAGGGCGGGAATGTGATAACCTCTGAGTGAGTGTGTGAGTGCATGGGGAGCTCAAGGGCCTGCCCTTGAACCTCCAGTCTGTGGCTCCGTGGTGCAATGTATGGAGTTCGAGAGGGCCTGAGCCCGTGTCTGTGGCAACCTCATAAGGCTTATGGCAGCATCGAGCTGAAGGCGAGCTGAGCTCGATCCCAGTTGGGGGATTATACCGACCTGCTGATGCTAAGAGGCACCTAAGTTCCCGCAAGGGATGTGGCCAGGTGGGCACCCAAGTCGTCCTTCATGGGACACCCCTTCCTTTATCTATCTTGTGCCACCAGTCACAAGGGGATACACATCATGGGGAAAAGTCAGTCTAAGCCTAAGGTCCTAAATTGTATGGTCAAAAACTGGAGATTATGGGGTCAAAATGACCCCAGGAAAGCTAAAGACCCTCTGCAGATCAGAGTGGCTGGTTCTTAGCATTGGCTGGCCACCAGAGGGCACCCTGGACCTCTCTACGTGCAGGCTGTTTGGAAGGCTGTGACCAGCAACCCCGGCCACCCGGGCCAGTTCCCATATGTTGACTTCTGGTTGGAGATAGCTCAGATCCTTGCCTTGGGTTCAATTCTGTGCTGGCAAGAAGGGACAGTTCAAGGTCCTTGTGGCCCAAGCAACTAAGGGGCCCAAGCAACCCATTCATCAGGGTGACCCTGAGGAGGAGCTGCCACTGCCTTATGTCCTTCTGGCACCATCAGCCCCCAGCCCACCAGCCTTGCCTGACACACCTCCTGCACAAAGAGGGGAGATCTGAGCACCCTCCCTTGAGGCTAGATCACTGTGTATACTGCAGAGGTGGGACACTGGAAGAACGAGTGCCCCAAACAGACGGTCTTGGGCGGGGCACCCCTCTCCCCAAGGGAGGGCAGAATACCAGCCAGAACCTAGCCAGGCCCACCTGATTGCCTTGGCCAGGATGGACTCAGACTAGGACGGGCCAAGCTCTATGAAACTTGGCCTCCGAGAGCCCATGGTCAGGATGAAGGTCGGGGGCCACCCAATGACTTTTATGGTAGACACCAGAGTGGAGTACTCGGTGGTCACCACTCTGGTTGTCCCATTTAGCAACTGAAAGGCAACTGTTGTGGGAGCAACATGCAACCAGATAGAGCCCCGACTGTTCTTCCAAGATCGGATATGCCAATTAGGGGGGCACCAGGTATGCCATGAGTTCTCTACCTACCAGAATGTCCTGTCCCCCTTTTGGGAAGAGACTTGTTAAGGGCACAAATCACTTTTAAACCACGGGGGCCAGCCAGTCTGACTTTGAGTGAGCCAAAGGGGGGTCTTGTCTGGGCAGTCACACTTCCACAGGAGGAAGAATGGAAACTGCACACTGCTGTGAGGTCAGACGAAATCCCACCAGAATTCCTGGACTCCTTCCCTGCAGTCTGGGCAGAGATGAAGCCCCTAGGGATGGCTAAGGCCCAAATCTGCAGATAGCAGGTGAAGTACCTGGGGTTGATCATCACCAAAGGACACCGGTCCTTGGGACCAGAGAGAAAAAGGGTGATTTGCTCCATGCCCATTCCCAACACCAAGCAGAAGCTCCAGGAGTTTCTCGGGGTGGCAGGCTTCTGCTGCATATGGATTCCTGGCTATGGACCCCTTGAGTGGGGTGGTAGCCAAGACATGGCTTTCTGGGAAATCAAAGCACTGCTCCAAAGTGCCCCAGCACTAGGACTTCCAGATGTCACCTGAGAATTCAATCTATTCATTCAGGATAGAAACAAGACAGCACTTGGGGTCCTTACCCAGACCACTGGGCCTTGGCAGAGACCAGTAACATATATGTCTAAACAGTTGGATGCAGTGGCATTAGGATGCCCCCTTGTCTCTGAGCCTTAGCTGCCACGGTCATTTTGATGAAGGAAGCTGACAAGCTAACCTTAGGCCAGACTGTCCATATCAAAGTGCCCCACTCAGTGTCCACCCTTATGAGCAGTCCGAGGCACCAGTGGCTCTCAAATGCTTATTTAACCCACTACCAAGGGCTGCTCTATGAAAACCCATGGGTCACCATTGAGACTGTGCATGGCCTCCACCTAGCCACATTTCTACCCACAAAGGAGGGGGCCCCAGATCTCGACTGTGAGGAGGTGGTAGATGAAATCTTTACTAGTTGGCCAGGCCTCAAGGACTGTCCCCTCCCAAAGGCAGACTTAAACCTGTTCACTGATGGAAGCAGCTATGTCCAAAATGGGGAGAGCTATGCAGGGTATGCAGTCACCACTGCCATTGAAGTGGTCGAGGCAGCCCCCTTGCCCAGAGGCTGGTCGGCACAATCGGCAGAATTACATGCCCTCATTCAGGCCCTGTGCCACATGGAAAGCAAAGTGGCCAGTATTTACACTAACTCTAAGTGCACCTTTGCAACTGTCCACATACTTGGGGTGATATATAAGGAAAGAGGGCTGCTCACAGCAGGAGGAAAAGAAATGAAAAATAAGGAAGAAAGTCTCAGACTGCTAGAGGGAGTTTGGAAGCCCAAAGAGGTAGCTGTCATGCATTGCAAGGGCCACCATAGAGGAACTGATCTTATCTCTACAGGAAACCAGCTGGCTGACCCAGAAGCTAAGGCAGCCGCACTGCAAAAAGAGCCTGTACAGGCCCCCACCCACTTATTCAGTCACCCCTTGGCTCCGAGAGGATGTGGGAAAGCCAGAATGCTCTAAGGAAGAAAACCAGTGGGCACAGCAGGAGGGAGAAAAGCAGGGTGCTGGGGGATGGTGGCTACTCCCTGACAACAGACCGGTAGTGCCTAGGAACTTGGCTCACACCATCGTTACTCAGTGCCGTGGTCTCACCCACCTAGGTAAAACTGCTCTGGAGACCTTATTCCATAGCTATTACTATACTGCAACCCTCCCTAAACTCTGTGCTGTAGTAAGCAATCAGTGCCTACCTGTGCTAAAAGCAACCCCCCACAGTGGCTGAAACCTGCCCCGGGGTGCAATGGGTGGGGGTCTACCCCTTTGAGGACATAGAAGTGGACTTCACTGAAATTAAGCCCAGTAAAGGGCACAAATGCCTACTGGTCCCTGCATGTTGTACTCAGGCTGGGCTGAGGCACTGCCAACTAAGACGGAAAGAACCCGAGAAGTAGTGAAAGTCCTATTTTGTGAAATTGTTCCCTGATACAGGATTCCACCATACACAGTGACAATGGGCCAGCATTTGTGGTGGAGATCATCCAAGTCCTCACCAGCATGCTCAAGATTAAGTGGAAACTTCATACAGCCTACAGGCCACAAAGTTCAGGGAAAGAGGAGTGCATGAATCAAACCCTGAAGGTTACACTAGCAAAGCTCTGTCAGGAAACCCTGGCTTCCTGGGTAGATATGCTTCCCCTAGCCCTGTTGCGGTCATGGTGTACACCAGGATCCGCCAGCTACTCACCCTTTGAAATACTATTCAGGACCCCTTCCCCACCATTTAACAAAGTAAGGGGAGACCTCAGACAGCTCGGGTAAACAAGCATGACATCCCAGCTGCAGGCATTGGGAAAGCTGCTGTCCCAGGTCAGCCCTTTTGAAATAGAAAGAGCACCTAACTCCCTAGCCAATCCAGTACATTCCTTCCAACCTGGGGACCAGGTATAGGTGAAAGATTGGAAAAAAAAACCCTCCAACCTGTCTGGACAGGGCCCCATACTGTAATCCTTGTCACCCCAACTGCTCTCAAAGTTACAGGAGTCATTCTGTGGGTACACTATTCCAGAGCAGAGAGGGCCCACCCGAACACATTGCTGGACTGGTGGACTGTGCGCCCAGACCCTCGGCATCCCACAAAAATCATGCTCCAGCGAGCTTAATCCTGAGAACTCGTCAAGCCCTGCTCTAGTCACACAACCGGAATCTGACTAGTCAACGCACGGCTGAAGATTGAGGAGCTTCCACTGAATCACCAAATGTGGACTGAAGTCTTAATACTTGAAATCTTAATACTTGGACAGCATTTGTTGTTCTACTGTTGTGCTGACATCATTGTCTTCCCTTGAGGGACATTCCTTGTCCATTTCTGGTGTAAAATGTCACTTCCTGTTTTGCTATTAATAATCTTCTTGGCCCTTGCCTAATTAACATACTCTGGCACTTTATTGAAGCCATGGTAATTAGAAAACCAAGTGCTCAGTTACTAGCCCTCTGTGAGTACAAGCCACTAAGTACAGACACCAGGGTGTAAAAGGGGATGCTCCCTAATATCCATAAGAGAGCATCAAAGCGGGGGATGAAGTGGAAATTTTGCCCAGGATTTTGTTAGCATGTACTCAGCAACCGTCCCTATTTTAAAACTGCCCCTGTTTTTGTTAGTAACTGCCTCTTTCTGCTTCTGTACCTTAGCTTATTGCTTACTAACTGAAAAGCCTTAAGGAAAACTGCTGCATCATCTAAAATCTGCTGTGTTGTATAAAGACTGGAGTTACTTCCCCTGCCCCTTTACCTATAAAAACTGTACTTTTCTTAGCTGGGGTCCAGACTTTTGGGTGTGAACCCTTCTGGGCCTCCCGGCATAATAAAGTGTGTTCCTCTGATCACCTGAGTGCTGCTTGGGTTTCTTGTCTGGTAAGATTTTCCAAAATATTCATACTTTTTTCCAAAGTGGTTGTGCTAATTTACATTCTCACCACTAGCAGGGTAAAAGTGTTCTCTTTTCACCATATCTATGCCAATGTCTACTATTTTTTGACTTTTTAACTATGCCCATTCTTGCAGGAGTAAGGTGGTATCTCATGGCCGACCCCACATTTATTTAGCAAACATGTATTAGGCAGTTACTATGTGTCAGGCTCTCCTAGCCCTCAGTGAGTGAAACATCAAAGATTCCACAACAGGATTGAAAAATACTGGCAAATGCAGGCTACTATAGTTAGTGTGGGAAAACTGCTAACCAGAGGATGTAATGTCTAGACAGAGACCTGGATGAGGAACAGTTAATCCAGGTGAACGGCGGGAGAAATCTTTTAGGGAATTGGCATCACAAACACAAGCTCAGAGGAAAGAGCACACAGGAAGTCTGGGGACCTGTCAGCAGTTCAGGGTGGAGATTAGAGAGAAAGGAGCACAGGGGCAGAAAGCAAGGTTGGAGCCGTGAGCAGGTTCAATGGCTGAAGCTTGTGGGCTTCGGGAGAGCCTTGGCTTTTATCCCGAGGACAATGTGCAGCATTGGCAGCACTGAAGTCAGGAAGAACCTTGATCAGATCTGCATTCCAAAAGAATCACTCTGAATGAGAAAAGAAATAAAGACAAACACACAAGAGTAGAATTTTACAGCTTGGGTCCAGGGGACCAACACAATCTCCAGTGGGGTGATCCGCGTGGGGTGATCTGTATTGCCATTGAGCTCTGAACTTCATGTGCCTTTATTGGGTGCATTATCTTGTTAATCTTGCAGGCTTTGGGGAGGGGGACTGAGAAGGAAGATAGCCTGAGGAAGAGCACTTGTCTGCAGCATTCAGTAGCAAATGTGGTTCTTCTAAGAAATGCCAACTAAGGACACTGAGACTTTACCACCCATTATCTATCCAGGTGCTTTGGCAAGAGAGGTGCCGTCCATAAGGCGCCATAAGGTCCGACCACACACACATACATCAAGGGGCTTTTATCTCCAGAGTTGTGGAGACAGAGCCATTAGAATTGCTCCATATTCTGAGAACACAGGCAGAGCCTGTGGTGTTCTCGTGATCTCTGCCCTGCAAGGCCTTCAAGCCTCACAAGCATCCATCTGCAAAGACCCTCCTGAGTTTAGTGAGCAGAGGTTGCAATTCTTCCCAGAGTCTTTTGCATAAGCCCTCTTTATGAGACCCTCATGCAAACTCTATGTTGGGAAGAGATGTGGGACCAAAGCAGTTTTTCCTGCTCTGCAACCACTCGGCAGTGTTCTGCATTCATAGGGTGCTCTCAGATGGACTTTACCATAGGCCTCCTGTTATGGCTTGATCTCTGCTTTTATTTTACTACACCATAGTTTGGATTTGATCTGTGGAACACAGGTCTGCCCCTGGCCATTTCTTCCTTTAAGAAAGGACACTGGCCGGGCACCGTGGCTCATGCCTATAATCCCAGCACTTTGGGAGGCCAAGGCAGGTGGATCATGAGGTCAAGAGATCGAGACCATCCTGGTCAACATGGTGAAACCCCGTCTCTACTAAAAATACGAGTATTATCTGAGCGTGGTGATACATGCCTGTAGTCCCAGCTACTCGGGAGGCTGAGGCAGGATAATTGCTTGAACCCAGGAGGTGGAGATTGCGGTAAGCAGAGATCGCGCCATAGCACTCCAGCCTGGGTAACAAGAGTAAAACTCCGTCTCAAAAAAAAAAAAAAAAAAAAAAAGAAAGAAAAAGAAAGGACCCTGAGTGATCAAGATCCAGTGTTTCACACCTGTAAAATGAGGTGGAAAAGGAGAAAGGGCCCCATGTGAACAGCACCCCACCTGGAAAAATGACATAAAACAAGGGAATTCAGCCCATGACATGAGAGGTTGTTGGGCTCACATATTATTGAGTGATCAGGGAGGAGTTTAGTTGAGTTCACCCCTACAAACAGGTATTGAGTGCCAGGTATGGTGTCATCCGTGACATAAGGAAATCAAAGGTATATGCTTTATATCTTTGTGACCAACATGTCTGCTCCTGCTTCATAATGATGCCAATCCCCGACTTCCCAGGATTCCCACTAATTTTGTCTAGTGCCCATGTGGGAAGTGAGCTGAGGCTTGGCAAGAGGATTTTAGCTTATATGGTCTAAAAAATAGTAGAAAGATTTCTTTAGAAAACACCAATTCCCTAATTAAATTGACTAGTTAATCCATACAAGAGAAATAAACCACTGAAAAATAAACTGAGTGAAGGAAAATAAATAATTACTAGAAGTCAGTTTGTGGGAGTCTGCATGAAAACAAGCTTGAAGAAATAGTGAGAACAGAAGATTTGCCTGACAGTGTGACACTTGATTGAAAAAAACAGATAGGTTTAGTGGTGGTGCTTCTTTAGAGATACAGGAGGTATGAAGAGTAATAGAGAAAATATTTGGAGAGAATGCCATCCTAACTTCACACAGAATGCAAGACCAGCCTTTCCTGTGGGCATCTCTGGTTCTTGTATCCAGGACTTTGCTTTTATAAACACAGTTCAGCTCTGCAGATCATCCAGCCCAGCCTGGGACAGGGATTTGTAATGATCTTGTTCAGTGATGGTCCAGCCTCTCCATATAGACCCTAAGATGATGCCCAGTGATTCTGTCTCTTGGCATCTCATCCAGCTGAGGACCAATGGACCTATAACTTGCTTCTAACCAATAGGATGTGGCAAAAATGATGTCATTTCTGTAATGAGGTCATGTGACAGCCCCACTTCTGTATTACTAGATGACTCTGTCTTCTGCCTTCCCTGTTTACAGCTTTTGATGAAGCAGAAAGGCCTGTGTGTGGGGGAGAAACTCCACAAGAGCCAAGGCAAGGGCCTGAAGCCTCAGCATGTTCTCATATAAACATAGAATTAGAAAGAAATTTGAGATATAGTTATTCCTGTATATATATAATCATAAAATAATCACATAGCTGTTCACGTGTAATCATAAATATACACATCTATATAATCACACAATCTTTACTCTTACTAATAAATCTCAGGTCAAGAAGTATGGGACTGAAGTGGCATTGGAAAAGAGGTGACCCTAAGGCAAGATGCTCTAAGTCCTCTGTCACACCCGCATAAGGCTGCTGGAGGGTGCCTTGGCTGTGCGACAGTGACAGCACTGTGAAAGTGCCCGCTGTTCAGCCAGCTAGGCAAGGAGACGTCCAAGATGGCTGAGATGTCTCCTTCCTCAGGGGAGTGAGGAGAAAACTCAGCTCTTCCAAGCTCTTGTGGCCGGCCTGACCATTGTCAGGGAGGCC